AAATGTATCTGAAGAATTATTTCATTGCTGTATTTCAACAGTTTTATGAACAAACTTTGAAAATTATTTGCACTTTGCAACTTGCAAAAACAAAACAAAGAAACATAAATAAAATCTACAGAATGCACTGCATAGTACGCTATTCCCTGAAACAACTGGTATGAGCAAGATATACTATACAAGGAATAACCAGGTGGGCCTTGGTAAAGGATTGCTCAAATGTCTTTTATCAATGCTAAGAGTTATAGTTGAAGAATAGGCACTTGAAAGTTTAAAAATAGATATCAAAGTCTGAATATAATTTTAACAACACTGTTTAACATACAAATACTGTAGTTTGTTTTGTAATATGGCAGACTGTTTGCTTTCAATGCTGGGGCCTAGAGATCCTTTTTTTAAACAAAACAACTTTTGAACGTAATGTGAACCGTCAACAGCTACACTTTCATGTGGTAGAGATGATTTTTTTAAATTCAGATTCTATGCAGGGCTGGTATTTTGTTACACTGTTCTAAATGATGCCTCTGATGCTTACTTGTTAAATAAAAAAATTCATACTTAAATGACTCCTTACCTGGTCCCAATAGTCCAGAACCAGATTTTGGACTGCATGGTAAAACTGTACAGCAGTCAAATATAGGCAGCACTTGTGGTGTCTACAATTAAGGTTGCCTGATGTTTCCTATTATAAGACTATTTTTATCAATGCTCAGAATTTTGCCAGACTTGAACTGCTCGATATTTCCATGCAAGCCAGACATTTTATAATATAAAATTATAATAGATAATAGTATTAATATTTGCCTAATGGAAACTTACATATACACACACATGATGCTGGGCAGATATTTATATATTATTTAAGTATATTATGATATTATTATTAATTAAATAATACTATATACATAGATACATACAAAAAGTTCCTACATGATGCTGGGCAAAAATTTTTTTTTTTTTTTTTTTTACATGTGTTCCTCATCTTCAGTGGGAGTGGACAACATTAAGTGTCTTGGACCTGATTTTCAGAAATGCTGAACATACAATGGAAGCCCTGTTCTGAACACACAAGCCACTGAAAAAATACCTGAAAAATACCAAGGCCCCTCAAACCTAGCATTCAAACTTCATGGGCCCGTTTCACAAGATCCTTGCTAGGCCTTTCATCCCCACCCGCAAAAAAGATTCAATACTGCCTCACAGAGGCCACGAGAAGCTAAGGGAATGCTTGGGAGAAACCTCAAGACACTATAATAATGACGAGCTCCGTATGAAACCCCCCAGATGGAACTTAATAAGGCAGCAATCCTGGGCATGGATGAGGTTTACTACAGTAAATAAAATGTGGCACCATGGAAATTAAATTAAATCCTGAATTAGCTGCTTACACCGTGCAGTGAATGAGGTGGTGGAGAGAGGCAGGGGTGCTAAGCTAAGGTTCTCATGCAAACTCATCAGGGAGCGCATTAAAGATGCATTTCCCGACTCGCCCTTGACTTTGCAACCTCCCTTTGCAGCACTGTCTCCATGCAGCGCAGCAGGTGGCTGCGGGCGCTCCGATGTGGGCACAGGTCTCAAGTCACAAAGCCCGCCCTTCCTCTCTCGTTTCATTCTCCTTTTCATTCTCTTTCTTTCTTTCTCTCTCTTCCTCTTTCTTTCCTTCCCTCCTTCTCTCCCTTTCTTTCTAACCCAGCAGTTTCACCGATGTCAACAGTCACAACGCCCTTTCCTTTTCTCTGTCCGTCTGCCTAACCCGGTGGCTCTCGACCTTGCCAGGCTCCGAGACCCCTTGCGAGATTCAGGGCGCCGCTCAGAAGACGCAGCTCCGAGCTGCCCCCGGCTGGTGGAGAAGAGAA